AAAAAAAAAAAAAAAAAAAAAGTCTGTGTCTCCCTTTCTTCCTCTCCTTCACCCTTCCCCTTGCTTTTCTCTTCTCTGCCCCATCTCTCCGTCTCTCTCTTTCTGTCGTTCCCTTCTTCCTCCCTCTCCTCTCTCCCATCCCCTTGTATTCTCTGTCTCTTTCTCAGGCCTGACATTACCCATTGCTCTCTCTGCTCTCTGATCTGTGCCTTACCAACCTTGCAGTTCAAAGATCCAGGAGACGGCTGGAAGTCTGTCTTCCCCATCCACTCACACCTGAGCCCTGTAAACTCCTTGCTGAATCCACTGAGGTCCACAACTTGAAGAGGGGAGAAATCATGTGAAGGTGTCCCTTGTAGATTTGATCTCTTCCTGCTAGAATTCTCAGAGAAGAAGGTGACTGGCCAGACTTCCCATTTGTTAAAACTAATATGTAATTATCCACCTACTGTCTAATGCAGTGACCAAACACACCGATTTTGAAAGTGACCCTGTGGGGGCCAGGCTTGTATTATGTTAAGACAGATCCATTATTTGTTTGGCAAACACATTTACTTGCATACCTTCTGTGGACTAGGCACTATGATAGGTGCCGGAGAAACACAAATGGATCCAGACATCAAATTGTCCCCTGCAGAAGGCTGGGAAATAAAGCAACATCCCTGAGCACTTTGTAGAATATTTGCTTTTAGTTCAGTTTACCTCAATTCTTTTGCCAGAGGATAAGCACCTTGCCAGAGAACGCAAAGATAAATATGCCTGGACTCTGCTCCAAAGGAATTGAGAGTCCCGAAAGGAAGACAGACATAGCAACGAAGATTAACAGTAGATGATAAGTCAACAAATAAGTATGTGAAAGATTCACCGGCGGGAAAGAGAAGTGGTAATCCACCCCACATACTGGCACAGAATAGTGACAGAAATCTTTGCTGAAGAGATGGCATCTACTCTGGGCTCTTCAGCACCCTAGGCAATGTGGGTGGGACACAAACACATGCGATGAAGAAGCTCATCTGAATGGCACTGCTGGAGGATGCAGTTGCTGAGAAGTGGGCAAGGCAGCAGCGTGAGATCGTGAAGGGCTTTGCCCCTCCTGGGAAGGAGTTACAAAGACAACAGGAAGCTATGAAAGACAGCATGAGGGAGAGACTCGCGATTAGATGCTGGTTTTAGCGCCAGCTCCAGCAGGAGCATGGAGGTGAGATGTGAGAAAGGTTTAGGGGAGCATTTGAGAGCGCCAGTGACTGGTTGGATCCACCATGTGAGGGACAAGAAATCCAGAATGAACTCAAGTTTCTGCTGTAAGAAAGTTGAGTGGATGATGGCATCACCAATTAAGAGAGAGCACAGAAGGAAGAGGGACAGTGCTGGGGGGCATCTAAATTGAGCAGTTGATTATTTCAGTGGAGATTGTTTAGAAGAAAGTTGGATATATGTGTCTTGAACAGGAGAAGCAAGCAGAGCTGAAATATGCATATGAAATCTAGAATTTAGGTGTCTGAACCAAGGGAGCTTGAAATTTCCTGAGCAAAGAAGACAAGAGAAACCAAAAGAACATTCATCAGGATAGCTCACGAGACAT